TTTTAACGTCAGGTTTCAGTAAACTCTCTTTTATCAAATTGATATCTGCCCCAGAATCCACTAAGAGTCAATTTCTCATATTTAATAAATCATCGCTAGTAATTGTTACGCAAGGGGATGCTAGTGAATCGTGTAACGTGACATTTTTCATGGGGGTTAAAATGCCTACTACCTTCGCCCTTCTTCCACTGAATCTAGTTAAACTCAAAAATGCAGAAATCTATGGGCGCCAGGTAATTTTTAACCGGAATTACCAAACCGGAGGAATCTACAAAATCAACTATATTAATTCGAAAAACTCTAAAACGTACCAAAAAAGGGGGAGAGTAGAAATACACGCTAATCCCTAAATACTCGAGAATTCCGAGAATTGGGGGGAAAGGTATGCGAGCGACAATGAGAGCGAGAGAGAGGAGAACGTATTCATCCATCGATTTTTCGTACCAGCCAAAACGGCTGAAATTCCGTAAAACTCAACTTGCCATAACTCGAAAATGGCAGAGTCAGAAATTACGAACCCTGAGACAAAATGTCCAGGAGAGTCTACCGAAGACAACAATATCCAAAAAATAATTTTCCCTAAATAATTAGCCGCCTCAGGTTAGTTAATCCCCGAGCGGAATTCTAAACGCAAAAATGCTCGCGTGAAGCGAGAATAGCCACGTGTAAACGTGGATGGGTTTCTGAGGGGAGTCGAGAGTCGGGGGGTATTCCCCCTCGAGAAACACGGCGTACACGCCCGCGAGAATGGGCTGGAAATCCATAAATACCAAAAATGGAATATCCGGAAATCGGCAGGGCGAATTTTCGGAAACTCTGAGATGAATTACCCAGGGAAGCCCCCCGAACACATTGATCCACAAACCATAATTTTAATTAACTATCTACGCGAATCAACTCAATTTGAACACGAGTAGAATTTCTTACGCGCGAAAACCCGCGTGTAACGGGAATGGACGCGCTCTAGCAATTCAACGTGATTAATTATCCCCTCTGATAGATTCGCATAAAACTTTAACCAACGTAATAAGCCGATGCACAGTGTGATCGGAGCCGGGTTTGAGCCGGAAATAACCCCAAAAAGGGGAGAAATCCCCTCGAATAACCCACCAAAACCACGAGAACCACCCAATCATGAGTGAAAAGGGGAAGGGGGAGGGAGGGGGTGTAGCGTCTCGCTAGACAAACACCAACGCGTAACACACGCACGGATACGATAACGCTGAGAGACGACNACGGATCGGATCTCCGGGATTTTCGGGGTTAAAAGACAAGTTACCGGCACTTGTTATGACTCCGGTACTAATTTCTGCTCAACTCGTTTCTCTCATCGAAAACCCAAAGGCAACCTCGCGATTCGTTGGAGACGATGGTTGCACTCGCTCCGAACGACCTTCCACCCAAAAC